CCTTAGGGCACCCCGGCCGCCACAGCCGGAGCCAGCTGTTTCTGCTCTACTAACAAGGTTGCATTTGCAAGAACAAATAACTGAAGATGCTCCCCGGCAGAAGAGCCTCAACACAACCGGGCAGCTCAGCGACAACGGCACTAGCCCCAAGAAAAGGGCAGATGGTTCCCAAGACGTTAGCTAGCTACAAGTAAGTCGTCATCTTCTTAAAGAGCCCTGCCCTAGGTAGCGTGGGCACGAGGCGTAGGTACAGGATTCTTTGGATTCTCTTCGCCTCAAAGTCACTGCAGCAACCGACGTGTCCTTGGAGAAAGCTGGGAGCAGGAACGTCCCTGATCAAACAGCAAAAACGGCCCCTGTGTGGCTACGAAGGGAAGGAGGGTATAGATGTTGTATGAGGCATAGAAAGGTATATATGTTAACCAACTAATGTACATAAATGCTACTGGAGATCTATCTGTGGTTACAGACGGCAGAAGCTAGTGATGCCTCCTAGAGCTGAAAAACGTTAAATTGACAGAATAAAAAGTCAAGCAGCTTTTGAAGAAAGTTTCATGTATAATACAATTCAGCAATTTAATCCTTTATTGCACTTTGAACATATACATGACAGTTATCTCCCACAATAAACAGTTCAACACTGATGCTACACCTGTCAAGTATGATGCTGCTTGAAGCTGCAACATTTCAGGCACTGATCCTGCAGTTGACCAAGTTAGAGCTACAGATATTTACAAAATTATATCTTCTTGTATAATATTACCACCATAGCTTTAAAACACCCACATTGTTTATATGATACAAAATTGCTCTGGGGCGCTTTTTTTTAAAACATCAAACTAGTATTTTGACAATGATTAATTTTCTGTATACAGACACGTCAGGAATAATTTTTACATTTCACTTTTTCTTTTATCCAACCGGCTGTTCCCTTAACTTAAGCAAAACCAATAAAACTTACACTTCAAAATACTTTACCACCAAGTACAGAATCAAGATAAACTTTGCAAGCACATTTTGTAATTTCCAGAGTTGCACTTTCCTCAAGAGAGTAAAAATCTTTGTATGTTTTGAAACTATTTTCAAAACACACATGCAGAATGTGATTGAGAATGTGCCATTTCTTTATATGCTGCTGTACATTTTAAATATGCCTCTCAAAATCCTCAACTCTTCTGTTTCCAGGGCTGAAGACAAAGAAATCAGAGCTGCAAAACACAATTCTTTAGAGTTGAAGTACAAATTGAAATTAATTTCTTTTCACTGTGACTATATTTTTAACTCGTAACTGTTAAAAATACGCTAACAGCTTTTTCTAGCAGGTATCCTTTACTTGGGTGAGAATAAGTTGTAGAAAATTCAGATTTTTAATTTTAAACATAGATCTAAAATACTTATTTTAATTACATATGCTAGGAGAGACCATACTAAAAAACACTAGTCTAGTTTACTAGGAAGTGAGCACTATAAAAAATAAATAGCTTATCAGACACTAACTCCAATGGGAAGCTTAGGCTTTGATGCAGAAACTAGTGGGTGAAGTTCTTTGGCCAGTCAATCACAAAGAGGTCCATAATAATCTCTTGTGGCCCTAATGATGAATCTTACCATAAATATGTAATTTCTAGAAAAATATATTTTAATATGTAACAGCTACTGCATATGCAATTACTCCTTGTGTTATAGAAATACTGATATAAAAATAAGCACCTTCCCTAATTTCCAGCTGTGCCTTATGTAAAATGAGAAAATTACCTGAGAATATTGCACTTCAGTGACCTATTGTATCAATTAAAAAAACATTATAATGACCATCAGGTCAATAGAGCAGCAGAAATTGCTCCCACACGTTTCAAATGAAAGAGACTGCTCTGTGTTTTGACAAACTGGAAGTCAGCTTATTCAATGCAGTAATAATTATAATGAACAATTCAAGCAAAATTAAGACTGGCATCTATAAATAAATGCTGAAAATGAGCAGAAAAAGACAAGTTCATCTCCTCCACAGTAGCATTTAGGAATGCAACTTGAATAGATCAAGGATTATTTTAGACTGTCTAGACAGAGCTGAACAAGACTAAAGAAAGGACAAGACAATTTGGTCTTGGACATGTATGTTAGTATTAAAAAATGGGAATAAGTTTTGCTGCGGAAAAATCTTTTCACACAGTATTAAAAAGTGGAATTGACAAAATCCAACAGCCTTTGCTATAGCACTATAGAGCACTGAAAGAGTTTGAAAGACTAAGATTTCTCTTGCAGCTACAAAAATAAGTCAGCTTTATCTTTATATAAAATGTAAAACTGCTGAATTTAAAACTGATAAGCTGTAACATAAAAGGCATGAGCTCTATTTTTATCTAAGGTTCTTTCTGAAGCCTAATGGTGGCATTATTACTTGTTTCTCCACTGAAGGAGTTATAATGCAGCTTATTTAGTTTCAAGTTCTAAACCATTTCGCTTGCCACTAGAGGTACCAGAAGTTCAGCCACTTCCCACACTCTGCTCACCACTTCTCCAAGTTTTGTTCTGTCCTGTCAGAGCAGAAACGTGACATAACATCACAGAAGACGTTAGCCTCTAACTAGGCAAAAAGAAAGAACACTGCACTTGGCACACCGCTCATTTTATATCTGCGGGAGACTCAGGGTTGAATTTAAAAAACATGAACATACAATGCAAATCCTTATTATGCAAATTAGCTTGCAACAGGTTACCTTCCTTATAATAAGACTATTCTAAAGGCAAATAAGAATATAAAGAATTTTGGCAGTATGACATTCAAAAATTATGAAAGAAAGGCAAGCACAGAATATTACAGGAGGAAAAAAAACCCACAAAATCAGAAGACAATGAGAAAGTACTGAAGATTACAAGCAAATCGAATGACTTTTTTAAGAGCTCATTAGCAGGTCTCTAGAGATTGAAGTTTATTTTAAAGGGAACTTAATAGAGTTTTGGCTCAGAACCAGGAAAACACCACGGGCTCTGTCATTCTTTAAAATGTTCTTAATTCTGATGAGAGGGCAATTACTTTCAAAGTAGCTAAAAATAATCTAATGAGAAATGTAAAAATGTCTAACCGAAACTTTGGAAAAAATTGCTTAAAGAGACTTTAAAATTCAAAAGGAAATGCTATGGACGCTATTGCTACACACTTGTAGAAATAGGTCTCAAAAAAAAGGAAAAGAAAAAAAAAAAAAGAGTAGCACATTCCCCAAAATCAAGAATTGAAAAGATGCTGTAGCAGCTTAAGAAAGTTTTTAAAATACCTACATATTTTTAAGTGAACTGTGCAAGTTAAATATCCATCAGCCTTTTCATGTTTAAACTTTCAGAGCATAGTCCCAAATAATGAAAGTCATGACTACCACTTCCACAATTCTTCTGTTGCAGTAGGCTGCTATGTAACTACCATTTAGCAATGCAACTTTTTTAAATGAGAAGAAAAAATATAGCTCCTGTTAATAAACCAGAATCTCAGACTGGGTTATTTTAGGCTTCTTTTAAATGTCCCTATCCACCTTTATAATTTAATGTGGATTTGCTTTTCTGCCAAGACATTCAAAAGGAAAGTAATTCTGCTTGTATTTTCAATTAAAAACAAGCTTTATTAATCAAAGTAGTTGATTATTTACTTTTCAGTATTTTAAGAATGCAAGATTAGACATATAGATCAATCTATGTTTCAGACATAGTATAGATGACCAAATACGGGGAAAAAAGTAATTTCAGAAGACTTGCATCCATTTAAAAAAAAAAAAAAAGTTGTGCACTTAAATACCCTTTCAGTTTCATAGTCTGAGTATTAGTAAAATTAAGATGTTACCATATAGGAACTTTACTACCTATTAACACTGAATATCTATTAAGGCCAGATATTTGTTGATCCAGACACCTGCAGTCATACTGATTTTTCATGGCTTAATGTTATTTATACAAATACTACAGAATTGGTATATATTTTACACAGGTGAAGCTGCTCAAAATGCAAAGTTGAAAAGGAGTTCAGAGTAACAACTAGAAAAGCGTCAAGCACTCAAAACTTGGTTTACACTGCAGCTTAACATCATAGTTTTAGTACATATTCCTATGAAAATACTGACTTCCATGCAAGAATCATGTTGTAATGAGCAAAATTTTATGCATAACTTTCATACTCACCGACTTTCATATTTATTTTTGAAAAAATGCTTATTTTTGCATATTAAAGATTTACCTTAGCATTTATTGTTTTGGCTATATGTGAAGTTAACAACTACCGTATAACAGTAGAATGCAGAAACATGTGCAAATGCCAAAGATTTTATTTAACAGCAAAAACTCAAGTTAAAACCAGATTTTGTTCTTGCACTTGATTGTTTTGTCTAGGTATTCTCCAAACTTCAGTTATATGTTAATGCACTAAACAATACCTTTAAAACTCCGTATTTCCTAACTTTCATAGGTTTAAAGGAATCATCAACATATAAATGAATCGGTGAAAAAAAATTAGTGAAAAAGTATACACAAAGCAACTGGAAAAACTGCATCAGTTTTACTTAAGAGACACAGCTCTATAGCAGTTATCTTAAAAATACAGCTGATAAAAAAATTATTTATGAAAGTCAAAAGTATGCAATACGTACACATACTTAGGTCTTGGAAATAGCTAAAAATGTTACGGAGATGTGTAACAGTTCACATCTGTCTATAGCGAGAGTACCAATTTTTAAGGACTGTGTTGCAAGAGACTGCTGGCTCTTGAAGCCAGCTTCAAACAGGAAGATGATTCAACAGAAAATATCAAATTTTCATTTCCAAATTGTTTTCCATCTTGCATTATTACCACTTTTAGCATATCTTCAGGGGAAAAGAGGAAAGAGGCAGAGAGCATGCCGTCTGAAAATGCAGTAGTTGCAAGCAGACACTCCCACAGAAAAACTAAAATTTTCCAGCATCCAGTTTAGTAACAAAAATATTTATTCTCTTTCTACTCTTAGTGTGTTTCTAATGGTGAACTCCATTTTATTTTTAAACTGCTCATAAGTTTTTGTTATTGGGAGCTCTAGGCAATTAAGGAGTCTGTTTCCAACAGGATACCTTCTATGCAAAAATTTAACTGTGGGTTCAGGATCAAAACCAACAGGTGGTATAGAAAAAGAGCCTGTTCCAAAGAGCAGAATGTCCTCCAGTGTCACTACAGATTCACCACCTAAAAAAAAGAGGATTGTTAAATCATCACTTGCTATTACTCATAAACCATATCCATACAATAAGTGGGGCCGGGGGAGGGGGGGGAGAAGGGAGAGATAGAAAAAGAAATCTACAAACTCCAGATCAATAAGTTGAATGAGTTTGCAGGTGTAAGTAAGGCCAAATAAGAAAAATCCAGTTGGGTTAGTTCAGAAAAACCTAAAATCAAACAGAAAAATCTCTTCTGCAAGATGGGAGACCAGTCAAACCTATTTCCTACCATTTCTTTATTCGGAGACTAATTATAAGCAGAGCCAAAGTAAGGAGATTAAAAGGATATCTTTTCTTCACCCCTCAACTTACTTTCTAAACCTGACAGGAGTGCTAATACCAATCTTTCAGATATTTATCTAGCTCAAATTTGGTTGTAATTGGGCAACAGTTTCCGAAATTATGATCGAGAAGGAAGATGGGAAAGGAGAAACAGTTAGAAACTGACAGTGACCTCAAAACCTTTATCTATCACACTGAACTCTAAAAACCAAATCCTACATGTATATCAGCAGCTAAGTGCCCTGGACAGGGAAGAAGGAGGGGGAAAAAATTTTTTTTACTTACTTTCCACATCCTGCAAATAACCCATCCAAAAATCAGCACCTTCAGCTTTTTTTATATCTGATGAGCAATGGATTGTAAAGAGATCACAAAGAGTTTCCGCTGAAAGCCTTTCAGGTTTATGACACAATATGCTAGAGAACGCATCTGGATGCATCTGCATTTTCTCTAGCACACCAAGAGTTTTCAGACCTTGCCTAAAACTAGGAGCGGAAGGGGGGAGGGGGGGGAAAAAAAAGCAGCATAGATCAGGGAGTCTGTAGGTAGTTAACTCTATTATGTTTTACACAGCTGTAACACTGGAGACAAATCTGTACAGTGTCCAAATTTTGTCAGTAAGGTCTACACAGTACCATTTTATTTTAATCTTGGAAAATCAGTTTAGATTAATTAACTCAGATTTTAACAATCCAAATATTACTGTGGAGTTTTTTGGGAGGATGAGAGCAATACACAGAAGTGAACTTTCATTTCTCTGGTGCTTGACCATATGAGCATGGTCTGCTTTTTATTTTTTTGTGAGAACATATTGAACTCCTGTGTTACAAATAACCCCTTTGAGAAAACAGTTTCAACTCCCTGTCTTCAGGCAAGACTAAGTTTCTTAAAAGCTAGACTTCATTCGGCTTCTGGAGTCTGCAAGAGTTTGTATGGTATTATTTATCTTAATTTTATTAACAGCTCTGCAGGTTCAAAATGTTTTCATCACTTAGATGTGCTGGATAAATTGTAAAGCCAATTTGGAAGGTGCTTAATTACCCTATAAAATCTGAACTACAATGTAAGCTGTCAACTCATTATTCCTTAAAGATCAAAAGGCTGAATTAGTAACATTCAAAATAATCACATATTGGCATTATACAATCAGTGATGTTCACTTGCATTTAGACCTTGATATTTACACACAAATTTTCTCTCTGCTCACTTTTGCACATTTTTAAGCCCATCTCAGAAATATTCAACATTGATTTTCTCCATAAACAAGCTAATTATTGCCTTTCACTTTTTAACTGGCTAGCTCAGAATATGAGAAATAGACTGGTCAAACATGCCACAAAGGACCTTGATTGAAAGACTAATTACTCTCAAGTCTAAGTTGTCAGAAAAACCTTATACACAGAATCAGTTTTTCACAGATCTTTGGGAGATTCAGTCAATTCAAATTTGCCCAAAGTAACACCATAAATGCATTAAAAATAAATCCGACCATACTTTCTCGAAAAACTGGAATGCTTTTTTACTGAGTAGATGAAGAATTCAAATTAGAAATGAAGCCAGACACCAAATAAAAAATGGTTAACAATTGCAACTAAGTCCTCACTATATCACGAAAACACCAGTTTCATAAACCAAGTGGAAATAGCTGGTATGGTGTTCTTAACAAGCTTTTGAGAGCTGCTTACATGCTGAAGTAGTCCAGCCTACATGTGTGCACACAATCACCATCATAGTGGTATATAACAACTCCATAGCTAGAACTCTGGACAATTCATTAAACATCTAAATGTATTTTTAACACTTAAAGACTCTCACTTTGAGCAATTCTACATTAAAACTGAACATGGATTAGAGAAATTTTGTGTTGCAAAGGTCTTTGTCAGGCTACAATTTACAACTGTCAGTCTCCCTGCTTTGTAATGTTAAAAATACAAAAAGAATATAATCAAGGCAAAGTGCAACTGATCAGATACTCAATACAAGACAAAAATTAAGCAGAAATGTAGAGAAACAAATTTTTCTTTCAGTTAAACTAATGAACTAATTAACAATCACCACTTAATCTTTTGCAAATGACAGTATAGTTCATTGGTTTAAATGGAGAATAGGTATGAATGTGTGAAATTTAGTTTTAGCAACATCTTCTGTATTTTAGTGAGGAAAAATCCAGCAAGTTTCAAAACTCACAAACAAAACAAACCTTTCCAAAGGTGAAATAATTCTCTTGATTACATGATGGATCAAGATGTCATTCACCAACACATTCTTATCACATAAAGCTGTTACAGGTCTTAAGCATTCAGCAGCAGCAAGAAATTCATAGCAGTCATGTACTGTTGACTGTAGGCTGGCCAAACTATTTGCGTATTTTATCTGCATCAGAAGATAAGAATTATAAATGTTTACCGCAAGTACATACACATAAAATCAGTTTATCTGAACTAAGGTTATATTTAAGCCATTCTTTATCTCCCAATATAAATTGGAACTACATTTGTTCCTTCAAAAGAAAAAAAAAAAGTAATAAAAAACCCCATCCCTTTTATTCAAAATAGCTGTCAACAAAAATACAAAAGCAGATGTAGCTGTGAAAAAGCCCCACTGTTGGGCTGGGTTATGCTACCAGGTAACATGAGTAATACTAACAGGAAAGGTCTCTATGGCTGATATTACCAGTAAAATTTCTACCAAAAGTAGAACTAGCCATGTAAAAAACGATATGGCACTATCACTGATTACTGCTAAGGTAGAAGATTTTAAAGGCTAATTATGTCCAAGTAGCAACTGGAACATAATTTTGATTTACAAGTTCTAAATTCTGAACCATGTCCTCTCCAAATTACAACCCTCAATCTGGTATTTTAAGGCTCAAAAACAAGAAGTTGCCAGTAAGTTTAGCTTTATTTACCATTTTTATTGTTTGTGCTACACCAACATCAGCAACATCTTCCAAAGCTGGTTTCACATTCTCCGGACCATAGACAAGACAATTGAACAATGTTTTGGAAAAGAAACCAAGAGATGGGCCACCATGAACCAGAGACACTGCAATCATTTTGCCAGCTTCAAAATACAGATTCTCTTTGAGAGCTGCAAATGAAATAAAGTATATGTAAAAATCTATTGTGATCTTGACGAATTTGTATACAAAAATCTCATAACACAATTCATTCACGCTTTAGGAGACAACATATAAAGCTTGCCGTCTCCTGCTGGTTGAAACAAAAAAACTGATAATTTTTACATAGAAGTACCAGCTACTTAACTCTTCCAGTACTATTGAGGTTTAGGAGGACATATAGCTTCCTCTTCCAGATTGTACCCAATGCACATTTTATTCTCAGGCATAAGAACTCAAAAAAGCTAGCTTTGGATCTTTAGGGAGTATGCTTTCAGAGATAAATTTTCTAGAAATTTGAGAAAAGGAAAATAAATGAGAATCAGAAAGGATGAAATCAATTTGCAGAGAACAAATATATATGTTCCAAGTCTCATTGTATGCTTACATTTTGTATTGGTTATTATCAACTTTTTTTAACTACACCAAACATTTGTTTAAAGTAAAGGATACTTAGTTTATTGATGTTCATATTACAAAAAAAAAAAAAAAAAACACACTCAAACTTTTAACAGTGAAAAACAAAGTGATTCACAAAAATAATTTCTATCTTTCAGGGCTACAATCTTGAACTAACAATCAAGATGAAGTTTTAGAAATGCTTAAGATTACATAGTCTTTGATTTATTTTTGAACAAAGCATTTACCTTGAGAATCAAGGGACAGATTCTTTGCAGAAGAGCCCTCAAACAGCGATGAGTTCTGAAGATGAAGCATTAATAATTGGAAGAAACGGTGTTTTGATCCATGAGAAGTATCCATCTTCAACCTATTTTTGCAGCTTGTGAACTTTATTTCAATAGTGTTTGTAGGACTAAAGTTGCGCTGTCTAAATCCCTTTAAAGCACTATTCCAGATATTTTCTGTATTGATGTTAAGCCTTGTAGTTTTTGTATTAACTTGTAGCTGTAATTCCTTCAGTATACTAGACACCTCCCTTCTCTGCTGTCTTAGATGCCTACAAGAAAATTGCACATATTTCCAAATGATTCATGATTAACAACAGTTATATTGAAAACACTGTACATTCTTTTTGGGGGAAAAAATCTGCTTGACCACTTTGGTATAAATTAGATAGTATCTAAATTATACGAGTAAAACACTTCATATAAATTCTATGAATTTTAACTCTGTACTGGCAAATTACTTTAAAATAACTAAGAATTAGAGAAAAAAGGAAATAGAACTAATTACTTTGGCATAACATGAACAGTTATTTTCTCAATTGAATTATTGCCAAAGTAGTCCCATATAATTCTTGCACCATCATTCTACGTTTGAATAATGTGAAACAAGTGAAAAATTAAAAGCACTTGTTATGTTTGTGTTCAAGAGATGTTTTGCAACCAAGTTAGAGCGCTCCATTTAACAGCGCCTGTGAACTACTTGCTAATATTTCTTTGTCATCATAATCAAAAATTTGGGTGGGACAAGTGTTGCAATTCTCATTAAAAAGCCCTAGAATTCAGTTAAAATAAACAGTTTTGCTTGAGAATTAGAAAATGAAAGAATTTTTAGGTACACTGCCTACTAATTCCCTCATTAGAATTTGGTCACATATTATAGGTAGAATTCATAAATTAAAGTAGTAACAGCAAGACATAGAAATTTTGTATCCTTAAATATACTATATTTAAACATGTTATTTTACCACTAATTTTAGCATAATCACAAATTAGCCCTTGCAAATGCAAAAGCACTGAAAATTCAGCACACGTTTAATTTGAAGTAGTTAGGAATTTTTTTTTTTTTTAAGTACCTCCCAAAAAGAGCTAACCATGCTTGGGTAAGTAAAAATGTACATTCCAGATTTTTGATCCCTCACTACCTAAAAATTTTAAATATGTGTCATTCTTTTCTCCTCATCTCCCTAGCACTGAGAAACAACAGAAGCCGTTACAAACTTATGACTTTGGTTCTTGAGAGCAACCATTCCATTTTTCTAGCGATTTTTTTTTCCCCCCCAGGTGCAGTATGATTGGGCTACATTCTGTAGAAAGTATGACATAAAAGCATGTGCTAGAGCATTCTTCAGTATAAGAAAAAATAAAATAAAATACTTTTTCCTCAGTGACCAGTTCCTGTTTGACATCAGTGGAGATAAGGACATTGTCATTCTGTTGGATGCTGGAAGTTCTAGGCGCGAGCAGGGAGTCAAGTTGTTCTGGCACATTATCTTTGGTGATCTACAAGCAAAACAAAATATTTAAAGAGGAGTTACAACTGAAGAATGCATAAACACTTTCTATTTGAAGGTAGAAATATATTTTCCCCTTGGTTCAGTATGAAATCTCATTTGCACGTTCATTTAAATGAATTTGATCAGTAGCTGAACTACAGTTTTAGAGAGAGAATAATTCAGTGCTTTTTATTATATCGTGGTTTTAGGGTCTGCGTTTAGTTGCATCCTAGATAAGAAATGGAAGTCCTTTTACATTAAGTAAAAATTAAGAAAAGATTTAAAAATGTCAGTTTCCACAGACTTAAAAATTTCTACTACTGCAGAGGAAAAATATGACTTATATAAACATTAAACTAGATTCCTAACACACTATTAGCATGTGCTAGAAAATCAAAAGATACCGGTAAGCAACCTCAGCTCTAAGTTTTGCCATTTGTACATTCAAAGTTTCCTCTAAATTGTTTAGATTGCTTTTAGAAGGATCTAATTTTACTTGTCAACCTAAAAAATGGTTTAGATGCCACTCAATGTGAATTTGCATACAGTCTATAGCAAATTTACACAAAGTTTATGGCTTACTCTCAGAACTTCAATCAATAAACTTTTTTACTCAAATTTTACTCAGTTTGCAACTCAGTAAAAGTAGTCTTTCCTTCGCAATAAGCTATCACCTCCTCACGCTAAAGTATTATTTTATGTTATAATCTGCCTCAGTTTGAAGACAAAGATTTACACACTGGAGAAGAAAGCTGTGTTGAGATCCAGATGACTGCCGAGGGCACTTTGGAGAAGGCTCTTCCAACAAACAAGTGGTCACATCTGTCTTTTCAGAGGTAGCCAAAGAACGCTTTTGCTGTTTGCTATAGTTCCCTGCACAATGAAATAAATATAATTTAACAAGTTTGCTAGGTGTTTAATTTTATGCATATATTATTAAAATATGCTCTCTGAAAAAGTCACTGTAACATGCATAATGCTACCTGATTTTGCAAAGATACTCCTGCACTCCATGCACTCCCAGTTTTGCTCCCATGATTTCATAGATGAACAGGCCAGGTGAGTTCCGCGGGAACCACAACACTGACAGCGCTTTATTTCCCATTTACTAAAATTAAAAACTCATATTTAGACACAAGAACAACACTAGTTAGAAAGAGGAACATTCAACGGTAAATTCAACGGGCACTAAACTAACAAAGCGTCATTTGTCAAGCCAGTAAGTGTATATAATCAATGGAAACTTTCTTCAGAGAAGAATACAAGTTTAAAAAAACAAAAAAAAAAAAACAAAAAACCACCACAAACACGTTCTCACACCTTGAATTAAAAGAGGCTATGAGTTACTGTGTCCCCCCAAGGACAACAGTTTGCAGCTACTGTTGTCGCCTCAGGTTGCTCGCCAGCAACATCCCCCTTATTTTATGAAGGCCTACTCTCCAGCATTTCCAAACGCTGTAAAGTGATAATCAGATTATTCTTACATGTTCCAAATAAGATTCTTCATTAACAACAGTACTTAAATATCTGTTAAATTACTTGTCTAGATTTATGACACTCTGCTTAAGCATATTATAAATGGAACGATGCGACTGATACTAGTTCGAACGTTGGAAGGCAAAGGTACAGCTCTTAAGACAATCCTGACACACACAAATACTAAGAATATACCCAGCGATGCTTGGCCAAATCTGTACAAAGAGAAGTTAACACACCTGCCTATGGAAAATAAGCTACGACATTAAGACAGAAACAAATCTGCACAGTAGGGGCCCTGCCTGATGACTCTGAGCATACTCATCCCAATAGAAGATATAGAAGTAGTACACAAAAAAAGCGATAAAAAACAAGGCAGAAAATGGATGCGCTGAGTGAAAATTGAACAAGTGGTAGAGCAGAATAAAATGTTTTATGTGATTGTTCAAGCCCCTCTAAGATATCACCATAATTCTAGTTGCCATTTGGGTGCAGAGGGATAGCCTTCCCTCATTAAGTGACTGGAATTACCCTCTAAAATATTGACCAAGATCACACTGTCACTGGCAGAATTATTTGGCCAAAATCCCACTTTCAAGAATATAGGCTCAGTTGCTTATCGAACGGTACAAAAGCTTGGCTGTCACTCGTAAAGTAGATCAATCATACACTACTACTTATAAGCTAGGTCTAGTATGTCAGCGAATTTCTTGTAAAGGAATTTTAACTATTCTAAACATTATTAAATAGAATTAATAAAGCTGTGAATGACAGACTCATAAGGTATAGTTCAGGCACATGCTATTCTATATGCTGTTATGTTGACGTACAAATTCCATTGCATTAACATTTTATTCGGAAATAGTGTCTTGGCTTGACCTAAAAAGTTGATGCTGAAAAGTATTACTTAATTAAAAAAAACAAACACACACCACCACCACACCCCGATTCCATACCAGGTTACATCTCCCTAAAACAACTGTCATACCTATCAGGTTCATTATAGTCTCTTCCTTTCTTGCAGAGACATCTTCTAATGTCACAGTGCTGATAACACTGCAGTAGGTCTTGATATGCATTCTCTTCAAGTTCCCAAGATGCATCCCTATAAATAATGACAATGTGGAAGATCTGTGTATTACAGCTGTGTTCTGATTGTTTAAATGGGTTACTCTGTCTTTGAAAAGACACAAAAAAACCACTTTATCTAATAGCAACATGAATGTGGCAACAGGAATCAAATTATGTGATTTCAGACAATACAATCATATACTCGGACAACGGCTAGACAACTGGGAGAGGGGAAGAAAAAAGAAATCTAGGATGAAATAACAATCTTACAACACAGAAGTTAATCTTAACTATCTGCAAGACAGTCCTCAGCTAATCTATAAGCATTGTCTGTTTTTTATATTACTAGGTATCACAATAGTTGCTATCCTAGGAAATCACTCTGACAAAATAAGTTTTTTTCCCTGATAAAATACACGCAAAACCTCCTTTACGACATCTTTGGATTCCCATACTAATTACACAGTGTTTTTATTTTCCACTATTCAGGGAAATCGTGAAGTAGGAATAACAAAAATGCTGCCCTAAAATATACACTGGCAGACTTTTTACTGTATAACATTATTTGGATTAAAGTATTTATTTCTGCACTATCTCAACGTGTGTTTCTCCCTGTCTCATATCCTGCTTTCTCATAGCAGACAAGAATATTAGTTTTGGCAATCTAATGAAATTGCCACTGAAAACGGTATTTTGAAAGACAACTCAGTATTTGCCAGGCCAGTATGGCAAAATACGTCAAGTATTTTGACTGCTCCTCTCCAGGATCTTGGATTTCTGTCTCAAGAGGGAATTAACGATTGTCTCTGAAGAGACTAATAGCTATTGAAGCATAATTCTAACAGGTAAACATCACTGATTACTTTTTGCCTTATTTCGAGTCCCACCAAATGGTGGAAACTATCGTAGAAGTGAGCTTATAATATTGGAAAGTTTTTACATACCAAATATATCCTTACAATCCCTTAGGAGAAGAATGAAGCTGTATAGATGAGTAATCAGGGAATGGTAATACTGGATGGCCAGACTATCAGATACATAATTTAAAGGCAGTCATTAAAAAGAACGACAGATAAAATACACTTCTCACCAACCTCTGAGTTAGTGTGAAAGGATCACATTTAAAAAGTGTTTTGATCTTTTAGATGTGTCCCTGGTTAAATGACGACTTTGGAAATGACCTATCAAAAATTAATTTAGTCTCCTGCTCTGCGCTTGAGATAACCGATTTGACCTTTTACAGGTCTGACGCATAACTAAAAGGAAATAGGCTACTTCTCACCAACAAACAGTTCTACCCCTAAAGGTAGTGCTGAGGTTTCACGGGCTTCAAGATGCAATTGCACAGAATAAACAAAAGAGTTGTCACACCTTATCAAAGTAAATTTTTATAAAACAGGAATTATTTACTAAGTTACTTACTTTTCTGGAATGTGTATGCCCATTCTCAACATTTCCTTCTGAAATTTGTCCTTGTTATTACATACTGTACACCTAAAGAAAAATACCCCAGCACTCAACGCTTGATACTGTGCCAGGAAAAAAACAAAACAAAACACCAAACCAATTATTGAATTATTACCACTCTTAAGATGCCAATAAATAACGCTTCCATAGCTATAAGCATTACATTCATGGACGTTAAGGCTGACGTCAACTACTTGACTTCAAAACAAATGTTGGGGATTTTCTGTTCCTTCAGAGGGTAAGTGACTCAGAGTTCACATCCAAGAATCAGGTTCATAAACAAAAGCACAAGCCTTCTTTTCTGCCAGCTTCTCTAGATCTAGGAATTTAGGTTTATAAAAAGAACTTTCCAATTTTTTCCAGTGATGGACTTCGGCAAAGAGAACTGATTATGGATAAATGACATTTTTAGCACTTAGATTCTGCACATTGTGACCTGGAAGAAAGCAGCTACCTAGGTTGGACTTTTTTTCCCCTCAAGTTCTGGAAAAATAACTGCAGCCATGAGGTGTATCACACATGCAGAAACATGGAGAGAGGAAAAATCAAACAAACAGAACACCCCCCTCCCACCCTTCTTGTAAAACATCCCTCTCCAAATCACAACTTCAATATCATCTGTCTAAGCTTTTTTATTTCCATGCCTGTTGCCAAAATTATTCCCAAGTGATTTTACCTAATTTTAAGCAGCTGTTCTATTATTTCAATCGAGAAACAGAAATACAATCTCCACGGATGCACAGACAAAAGAAAGGGACAACCTGCATTACCTGCAAGCATTCTCGATGAAACCAAGCATTTTTACAGCAAGGACTTTTCAGTACACTGTACAAAGGAAGCTGTTCAACCAAATCCAGGCAGATTGTACACTGTGAAGATTCTCTAGATTCCTTAACTGAAAACTTTTGGACTGGTTTATGTTCCCAACAGTAAGACCTAAAAATAATAATTTAAAATTCTTAATCTTTGTTTTCATAAGAGAAAATTCATCATAAGAACTGAAGATAAAACTAATATGCTATCTTGTTATTTGCTTTTCATGAATAAGTACTTCGGGACAAGCAAAAGAAGGCGTACACAAGTAAACAAATTATGCATCTAACAAATCAACAGAACAGTAGTAAGAAAAACATGTTGCCAACCGATTTTTGGTGGGTTATGGGGAACATATACCTCCTTTCCCTCAAATACTTCTGATCCAAATAACGTGTTTCTTACCCGTAAAACCTCAGGTTCTTCCTACATTTCAATATGTTACAATGATATTAAAAGGTCAGTTTTGAATTTGCACAATGATTCTGCAAAGTCTAGGTAGCATGATAAATTTTAAAATTGCATACATTTTCAAAGTAAAAAAAAAAAAAGCAAAGAAGTTCAGTTTTAAAAGAAACCCTTTTGAAAATGCATTATTTTTACATATGCTTGACTCAACTAAATATGACTCACGGTTTTATGCTAAATTAAACAACTGCCTCCCAGACTTCCATCTATCAGTTCTGCAAACTCAACTTGTAGTAGAGAGAATAAAAACGTATTATCAAACACACTCAAGGCCATTTTGACTACCATTAGGATGCCATGAAGATGGTAGTAAAAGAAAATAACCTTTTATATAAAAAAGATATAAAGTCAATTTCTCCTGTAGTCTCTCTCTGATAAGCAGTTCCAGAAATTTTGTTTTGAAACACAACAGAACGGCATGCAGCGTGTTTGGACAGCTGAGAGGGGCAGCCAAACCAAGGGAAGGAAGCAAAAGGTTTTTACTTGTCACTTTAGCAAACACAGAAGAGACACGCAAACCAAGGAGAAAATCCTAGACGTTCTGCCATTAGTTTCAGAATTCAAGATTTATCACTCAGTTTTATAGACAACTTAACTATTTATAGAAGCATAGCATTATATCTTTAAAATCACTGCACACTTAGTTTATCTATAATAGGTATGTAACTGCTTGACCTTCATGTCTTCCACAAATTATTTTTCTGAGCTAATTCAGATGTTATTTATACTTCAAACACTTTGAAAAAAACATTTTTAATAGAAAAAGCAACCATATAAAAACAAATCACCTCCCGTTTAATAAAAAAAAAGTATCATTATTATGAAAGTAAAAAGGTAACAACACCCCACTCAACTTACCTAAAGTCTTCCATGAACTGGAAAATACATTCCTTTTGGATTCCACAGGGAAAATGGTAACTTCGCTTGCATTTGGGAGCTACACATCCAATTGAAGCACCCTTTTTCTTACAGATATTACATTTCTAAGAAGAATTTGTTTTAGAAATAAAAGAAAATAAAAGAATTAAAGTCCAACTAAAATTATGGGAATACAAACAAAAGAAAAACCACAGAAAGCGTGCAAGAAATATCAGTAATGCAAACTGTTACGTTATTCAGTAGGTGTGACAAGAATCTTGCATTTTATATATCTTCAATCTTTGAAATGTGCGTAACTATTTTACAGAATTTCTGATTATGAGTTTTTATATGCATTTTGACTGTGACATGTAAGCTGAAATACAAAATACTATACCAGTAGCTACACTTAATTACATCTGCAAAACTACATAAGGTTAGTTTGAGACGCAACATATGTCATGAGGCAATACGCACATATGCTCTCATCCATTTATCTGCAATATAAAGAAAAATATTAGGGAACCTCCACAGGTTTTGTTTTACTATCCTTTGCTGCTTCCAGGAACCCAATATACGCATTACTTAAATGTCAAATTCAGATGCTGGTATAGGTGCTCAGCACTGCCCATGGGAAAACAAAACAAACGAAAAAACTCGCAGATGACACAAGTGCACTTAATGAAAAGTTACTGTTTTTTCTTTGTAAACCAAAGACTTCATTCTTACCAGTTTTGCAGCTCTATTTACTTCTTTTCGTATATCTCTGATTAAAAAGCCATATACACCTTCATCTTCTTCTCCTCTCTGCCAAATGCCACTTGACATCAACTATAAAAATAAATTAAAATACGTATTTTAAAAAATTCTGCTACATAAAGTATTAAGATTACCTGTGCCATGTTTGTTGAATAGCAGAGAAAAACGTTCCAAGACAGCTTTCACTGTTGTGTAGGATAGGCTTTCTTGCTCCAAACATTGATACTGGAATCACTACTGAAGTCTGTCATGGCTTATGTACATTTCTAAGACCTCGATAGTATCTAGTCTGAGGACAGGCCTAAGGATTCCAGAGCACAACATCAGTAAATGACCAGGTAATCTAATCCTGTTTAGATACATACAATAATTCAAAAGCTGATCCAAAATAACTAGTATTTTTGTCTGGTATGAGAAAAGAGAAGTATAATCAGTGATACGAAAATAGATATACAATATAAATATATTTGTATTAGACTATACAAGTTAGACTGCTTCAATCAATTTAGGGAGTATATATACTTGCAGGCAAGCAAGAATCATTTAAGTTTCATAACATCAAAGTCCTGTGTGATACTGTAAGGCCAAAGATGGTGTATTTTAACTTTCCTTTTTTAAGTATAGGGACTACTCAGATAATTGTCAAACAATTCCTTTCAGCATATAAAACTTCAGAGAAGAAGTGAGTTTAATCAGTTCATATGAATGAGGATTGTGTTGAGGAGATAATGAAGCACAGTGGGAAGTATCTGTACTGAAGTGTAATCTAAGAGGAAAGTAATTCACTTTAGAGGAGAAATAAATAAAATAAATAAAATCAAATACACTGGCAAGTCAGAAGACTCAGTTTAGATTCAACAGTTACTTAGGAACGTAGTTACATCACAGACTTCAAAATAACTAAATGGCTTCATGATCTGATGCCTCCTGTATACTTTCTAATCTCATTTTATGTTTTCTTTTTTTCAGAAGTGAAATTTCAGTATGGCACTATTTTCTAACCACAAATCTTTTTCAATATTTTCAGTCTTAAGAAATGTAAAGGTTCATACTAAAATCAATTAGGAGATTTTTCCAAGTATCAGGCATCCAAGCAAAGAAAAATGAAGTGGTAACCCTAACTGGCCTCTTTCTAGAAAAATTATTTTCTTATATAGTGCTCAATATTTGAATTAAATTATTATTATTAAAGAAGTAGGCTCCAAAGCTAAGAGATATCTGCAAGAAGCTCCTTACAGTAAAGTATCTTAAAAATTAGCAATTTGAGGCCTCAAACTCCATGTAAAGCGTGCCCTCTCTCAGCTATTACGAAAGGCCATAAACTTCTTTCCTCGTTTGAGCAGGAGCATATCTACCCCATCCCACATCAGAAAAGCGTGGGCTTCCCTGGGCAACCTGTTCCAGCGTTCAGTCGCCCTCACAGTAGAAGTTGTTCCTTATGCTGAGACAGAACTTCCTGTGTTTCCGTTTGTACCTGTTGCCTTTCATTCTGTCACTGGGCACCACTGAGAAGAGTCTGATCCCATCCTTTTTACATCCTCCCTGCAGATATTTATACACACTGATAAGATTTCCCCTCTCAGTCTTCTCTTCTCCAGGCTAAATGGTCCCAGCTCTCAGCCTTTTCTCTTATGACAGATGCTCTAGTCCCTTAATCATCTTAGCGCCCTCTTGAGATCATGTTAATCAACTTGGAAAAAAATTCAAACAGTACTTGTTTATAAACACAATTTTTTTGTTAAAAGTTTTGTTTTAAAGAAAAATGTAAAGCTTACAGTTTGAAAGTTAGTTCAAGTGGAATATGAACTTCAGAAATTATCAAGTGTGATAATCAAAGTGTTCGGGTTTAGATTACATCCATAACTTTGCCCAACTTTTATTGAACTGTGACATACCACAGCTGTAAATTATCAGTAGGTGTCATATCACTAAACTGAAAAGTAGGATCGTTTCTCTAGTGTTGCAGCGTACTCCGTAATGTCACAGAATACCTCACCGCCAAACAAGAACCAATGATAAAACATGAATAAACATGAAAGCTTTTCTCTATGGTTTTCCATTAGAGGTGGAATTTTGAAATACGAAATTGTTCACTTTCTTTTAAGACACACCTTTATTGTTGTGATTGGTTGGGGTATTACCTAAGTAATTAACTGAAATTAATGAGGAACAGAATTTAGCTCTGAATAAAAGCTTGCTGGGGTTTATTTACTTAGTTTGCTATACCTGACACGTACAAGCCTTCTGGCCTACAAGTTAAAGCTGAAAGTTCAAGACTTCCAACAACAGCCAGTTTGGACAAGTAATTTCTACTTAATAAGCATTACATTTACTTTTTCCTCAGGTAAAACAGATGAGCTCCAACATCAATACCAAATACATACCAAACAGTAATAATGAACAGTGAGATTGTATTCCACATAGGTTCTCTTTTCGCCATACTTTTCAGGGCAGTCATCTGTCCGTCCACAGAGAACACAGGCTAAAATACAGAACTGTGTTTTAGGATGCTTTGTCATATGCTTACGTGCTTTTAAAACATTCAGGGATTTGAGACAAGTTTGGTGTCAACTAATCTCTGCACTTCCTAGCCCACCAACCTACTTCTACAGACACGCAGTATTCATCTTCTCTTTAAATCTCAATAGAGATATAGAACTTTTTTAAATCTAGAAGTATTTTCAATCCTCTGATATCAAGAACAGTCATAGTAGTGGAGAGAAAAGAGATACTGCTTCAACCTAAGAAGAAGTCTCGAACGACAAATCTCACACACAGCTATGTGTAACCTGGCAGCTGAATTCCCAAGGATACTTTTTTAGAACATCTGCAGAAAGGTCTGTATGAACAAATCCAAGGAAATTGACAAGAGTTCTTTTTAATTCCCTGAGACATGTTGTACCAACACAATTTGACTCTTGATAATTCACTCATTCTTTGAGACCAATAATGAGCTGTAGATGGTGTTAAAGATGTATATCAACACAAGAGAAACCTTACTTACGTGAGCTTTGAATGTCACAGTGGCTGTTTTCATTCATTCTAGTGAATTCTTCTAGCTGTCTATCATGAAAAAGAAATGGCACGTTACATATGTCTGCTGCATTGAGAATGACCACCAATCATTGCTTTCCAGATTTACTTTCTGTTGAATTCAAAAAAATCCCAAGACTCAGCAACATTTTTAAAATGGAAACAAGACGACTAATATCAGAATTCATCTGTTCTTCTGAAAGATAGAGGTTCAGAAAGCTGGATGAAGATGTTCAGAAGAAATACACCCAGACCAATGGAACATGCAACAACTTATCTCTCTTATTTCCCCAAATTATCAGCAAGATATTTTATGTATAAAAGTCCAATACAGCAGCTAGTTCTTTCGAAAAGAAAAATAGAAGAATTTATAGTTATTTTCAACATTGAAAATAATGATCCAAGTACAACCAAGGCAGTGACTTCTGTTCAAATTAAAGATTTTATTAGCATGAGTATCTTAACGAGAAGATAAAAATTTCTCCCTTTTTTGGAGAAAATGCAGGATCCTAGCCTATTCAAAGAAACCTGATCTAAGTCTACAAAAAAAGCTGTGAAGAATACAAGGCAGGGAAACACAAGGGAACGTGCACTGTTAAGAACTATACGCCTTATATTCTAAAGAGGAGAATAATCTGTTTAGAAACATGAGCCAAACTTGCATTTCTTTCAAACATCATATGACCCTAAAAATTAGATCCATAACACCATTAGTCCACCTCAAAAAAAAAAAAGTCTTCACCACAGCACTAATATGATTATCCTTTCAACAGTGCAACAGAGCTCTTCCAGGAAGATATCTGCAGATCTTTGGCGTGCCTCCTCTTCGGAGCTGAAGAAAACATTACAAAAGCTTGGGAAGATAAGAGTCATGGGAACGCTTCCTGCGGATCCATGCTTGACCTTGCAGGCAGGTGAACAACTTCCTTGATAAAACTCAAAGCGGGCAGGGGAGGCAATTGCAGCAAGTTCAACCTCCAAACTGAAAGTCTCAGACTCCCTGCTTTCAGAGCTTTGGTATTTACAGCTTAGATGACTGCCAGGTAAAGATGGCTTTAGGAACAGCTCTCAAGCTGATCCCAATTACTGCAAATACAGCATTGCAGCCATCTGATTAGAGTTTTAGGAAAGAGGTTGCGCCAAGGAGTGAGGAAGAGGGGGGGAGAAAAAGGAGGCAGAACTCTCAGGCAAAAGGCAACTGTTCTGTGCAACTGCACTTCTTTAAAGAAAACCAGAGTAGTTGTATAAACAGAAGATTTTTGCCAGAAGACACTCTAAAAGCAACAAAACAAACAACGCTGCAACCAATTCAAGTGAAGAGACCCTTAAGAACACATATTGCACTGTCAGACAAATAATGAAATGAGAATCCAGTTCTCCCAGATATGAACTTCCGCTTTTCTACATTAAAAAAAAAAAAATCAACTCAGGGACATAGAGGAAAAGACAAGAATATCTTATTATATCTTTTCCTTTCTTTTCGGGATTTCCCAAAAAAGGTCACAGCCCTCAGTCTACTATGGTAATGCAACAGAATATAAACATCTGTATAAACACAGACTGGTTTCTCAGTTTAGTGAGTACTGAAAAAAGCCCTATAACATGGAGAAAGCACGTATTTGCCTGGAAACAACATAACTCCCTTCCCCCCTCTGCTAGCTCCAGCAAAAGAGAAGAAAAATGCTACCCACCCCCAAAAAATCCTACCACCTTTCTCAAACTCGTCCAGGATAATGAGTCCTGGAGTTCACATTTACAAGTTAAAGAGCCAATGAGAACAACCGTAGAGGCTCCATGCATAAGTCCTACAGCGCTTTCTACAGAAACAAAGCAATTCTATATTAGTCTATTTGCAAGACAGGAACACGTTATCACCCAGTGTTTATAGAACTAAAGTGTAAATAAATCTTATCTACCATGCCTAAATAAGCTAAGCCAATTCGTCAGAGTGGCACGAAGTTTTGCTAAGTGCTACTAGAACTGTTTCTTTACTGCTCCAGAATGCAAGCTTTCTTTTTTCCCCCCGTGTTTTTAATTGGGGGATGGAAAAAGCACAAAAGTAAGAGGCAAGATTTCAGGTCTACCTTTTCCATACCACATGAACAAAGCCTACATGGAACCTCCCCAGATACGATCAGTTAACGATGTGTCCTAAATTTACATACGACTGGGTCTCCAGTACATCTCGCCGTTTGTTTACAACAATGCTACGTCCTGAAAGCAGCCCTTTACCCAGCGCACGGACTGGAGCAGGAAAGCTCCCTCCACGCGTGGAGGAAGAACAACCCCGACAGACTACGATTCATAAAGTCACTTACTGCCCGAGTCTCCAAAGGCTTCAACCTCCGACTGGCGTGACAGGGAGAGCGGGAAGATTTTCTCGCAGTTATTCCGCTATCGCCTGCCCAGAGAGGAGCGGCGGGACCCAGGCATCGCTGGCTGCCCGGAGCACAGCCTGGGAGGCTGCTGCGCGGTCTCCCCTCGCGGGGCAGAGGCTCCCGCCCCGCTGCCAGGGCGGTTTAAATTACCCCGTCCCTCGCCACAACGCCCCGCCTAG